GAGAGGACTAATCCTCTGGACACACACAAGCCAGGTGCCCATGAGAGACAGAGAAAGAGGCTTGTAGAGTGAAAGGTGAATGAACAGGGTTAATTCAAAGAAGAACTGTTTAAATAAAGGATGCCATCAGTTGGCGCCACTGCTTGAAGCAGGGACTCGTGCAACAATTTAAGAACACTGACTTGCATATGTGTGTGTGTGTGTGTGTGTGTGTGTGTGAGAGAGAGAGAGACAGAGAGAGAGAGAGATGGGGGGGAGGCAGCACACTTATCAAGAGCGACAGAGAGAACGTCAGGCGAAAAGAGTGGAGGGAGGGAGCGGAAAGCAGAAAATGAGAGTGTGGTGAGACAGCGGCTCACAGTGACAGCAGGGGCAGAGGGAGGCAGAGGGAGCGAGTGAGCTGGGGAAGACTGATTTGCCCAAATGTGTTTGTGATGTGCAACTGGCGGTGCTTAAATCGCAGCGTGGAGTGTGTTTGCGTGAGCTGGTCTGATTGTGCTACCAGTACTGCCTGGAAAACGTGCTTGGTGGATTATGAGAGATCAAGACGAGAACGATTGTGTGTGTGTGTTAGAGAGTGTGTGTTAATTGGTGAACAAAAGGGCTAGGTGCAGCTTATTCGTGAGTGTTTAGATGAGAAAATCGTGCAGCTGGAGAGTTGCTTGAGGAAAGGAAAAAGATAGTGCAGATAGCTGAAGCACTTGAGGATGCCAGGGCATTCAGGGACAAGCACAGCTCTCCGATAACTGCCGTCTGAGTACTTCAGACCCAACGAAGGAAAGAAAACCAATAAACAGAGACTGTTGAAGGCAAATAAGGCAAAACCATGGGAGCACGTGTCTTCTTGAGCCATCAACGGAACTATTTGTAGGACCAAAGCATCTCTGTTGCTGCTGACTACCTCAAAGGGTAAAGCCACGAAGACGGTAGAGTTTCTTTGGAGGTCTATGTGAAGGATCGGTGAGGGTCCATTATAGTGTCCAGTGATCCCTTGATGTCTTCAGCACCCAGCCATGGGAGAGTGGACCATTTTAGAGCGCCTCCTGGAGGCCGCTGTGCAGCAGCACTCTACAATGATTGGAAGGTAAGAAATGCGAAATCAATGCAATGATCTGGTTAGGTTCTCTCAATGTAATAATTAACTGCGACCTATGATGAGGTTCTAATAATTTATTTTTTAAATGTTAAATACGTTCTCCTCTCCCAGTTTAATGTGTAGAGACAACTGCAATTAAGAATGTCTGAAAAGTGTAAACACTGTTACTCTGTTTGTTTGCGCAGCCCAGCATGTCAGTTTCAGTGTCTGCCTTAGTTAGGAATACAATGTTTTAAACAATTTGTAACAATTGTAAAATTTTAGCAAATTGGTGACTGATTTGTATGACTTGTACGATCTCATTTGTACATTTGTTTCATTGCGGTTTCGTTTAGGGTGGGGTTACGGGTGGACCTTCATGCTTTTTTTCTAAAAATTGTAAGTTTTCATAAAATTCACATTGTGCAAATTCATATGAAATCGCCATTTTGTAAAAAAGATACGTTTTCCGTGAGATCAGGTTGTCGAACCCTGGACATAAATGATACTTCAAACCATGTGGCTTATAAAGTAGTATTTAAACAGTAAGTACTACTTAAGCAATGTGCTAAAGCAATGTGCTTTATAAATTATTTTCACCTGGCAAATTATAAAACTGGCATCACAGAGACTGTTTGATTGAACAAAAGCACAGATTGTTCCAAAGTATCAGATACAAGTTAATTATCAAAACCCATAATGATCCAAATGCAAAAATTTTAAATACAAGAAGAAATGACATGCATTGGTGGATTACAAGAATTCCTTTGTAGTGGTTCTTAATCCTGTTTCTGGGGACCACAGTACTGTACATTTTGTCTTTCTTATCTGACACACCAAGCTTGGTCCATAAAGCTTTCTACTAATGAGCTGACGATTCGATTCAGGTGCATTAGACATACAAAATGTGCAGTTCTGTGGGTCCCCAGGACCAGGATTAAGAACTACTACTGTATGGCGTTATCGGTCCATAATGGTGGCTTATGGTGAAGAGAGAATGACCTAGTGGCTGAGCTTTTAGTTAATCCTGCGGGCATCGTGAGCGTCTATTGGTCAATCTCAAGCTTCAGTAGATCCAATGCTTGAACCACTGAAGCTTGTGAGACCTCAAGTGACATTGCCTGCTCGGGTGATGCTATATTTTCTTCCAGTTTAGCCCCTCACGTTCTCTTCTTCATTTGTATTTTGGACACAAATGTCCTGCCAGATTTAGCTAAAAAATATTTTTTTGCATCTTTCTTTAAAGATGTATTGTTTGATGCTTGTTAAAGCTAATTGTGGTTTTAACTGACATTATTTGAGGCGTCATTTTTCTGTGTGCAGCGTTTTGTCCGCAGTGCCCTGTACTTAAATCTCTAATGCAGTTTTCTAAAAAACACACTAATTAGTTTCAGTCTGTCATATGAAATTATCTTAAAGACAAACACTGTCAAGCAGTGTACATTAAGGCAGTCAGCCAGGAGACATTGGGTGTGAAATGGTATTTATCCAATGCTTGAACCACTGAAGCTTGTGAGACCTCAAGTGACATTGGCTGCTCGGGTGATGCTATATTTTCTTCCAGTTTAGCCCCTCACGTTCTCTTCTTCATTTGTATTTTGGACACAAATGTCCTGCCAGATTTAGCTAAAAAATCTTTTTTTGCATCTTTCTTTAAAGATGTATTGTTTGATGCTTGTTAAAGCTAATTGTGGTTTTAACTGACATTATTTGAGGCGTCATTTTTCTGTGTGCAGCGTTTTGTCCGCAGTGCCCTGTACTTAAATCTCTAATGCAGTTTTCTAAAAAACACACTAATTAGTTTCAGTCTGTCATATGAAATTATCTTAAAGACAAACACTGTCAAGCAGTGTACATTAAGGCAGTCAGCCAGGAGACATTGGGTGTGAAATGGAATTAGACATCCAAACAGCCATCTACCGATGCTTAGCATTCAGGTTTTTGGTGACTCACCTACTGACAGTGCGTCATTTATCATATGATCATCATAGGTGACCTTTGGATGGTCGTCACGACCATCCAAAGCCATTATGTAATGGTCATCTCTTCCTCATCCAGCAGGGTCTGGTTCATTGCTACACTAGACCCTAGACTACACATTGATTCCATGGCAACAGAATTTGTCTTTCTCCATTCCATTCATGAGACCAAATGATAAGAGGTTGGTATTTGCCATGCATTTCCTCCTGCCATTGACAGTTCTGGCATCAATTTGGCTGGCCAGAAATTGAGCGACACTTTCATAGATGTGCCGTTAGGCTGAATAATGATTTCCCTGATCAGATCTCATTCACCAATCACTGCCCCCACACTCACACTTCAGTGAGCGCAGGCTGCTTGGCAGCCAATGGTGAATTACACTACGCCTGACAGGGTATGCCTTAGTCTCAAGGGACTGTTTCATTCATTTAATGAATGAAACAGTCCCTTGAGACTAAGGCATACCCTGTCAGGCGTAGTGTAATTCACCATTGGCTGCCAAGCAGCCTGCGCTCACTGAAGTGTGAGTGTGGGGGCAGTGATTGGTGAATGAGATCTGATCAGGGAAATCATTATTCAGCCTAACGGCACATCTATGAAAGTGTCGCTCAATTTCTGGCCAGCCAAATTGATGCCAGAACTGTCAATGGCAGGAGGAAATGCATGGCAAATACCAACCTCTTATCATTTGGTCTCATGAATGGAATGGAGAAAGACAAATTCTGTTGCCATGGAATCAATGTGTAGTCTAGGGTCTAGTGTAGCAATGAACCAGACCCTGCTGGATGAGGAAGAGATGACCATTACATAATGGCTTTGGATGGTCGTGACGACCATCCAAAGGTCACCTATGATGATCATATGATAAATGACGCACTGTCAGTAGGTGAATCACCAAAAACCTGAATGCTAAGCATCGGTAGATGGCTGTTTGGATGTCTAATACCATTTCACACCCAATGTCTCCTGGCTGACTGCCTTAATGTACACTGCTTGACAGTGTTTGTCTTTAAGATAATTTCATATGACAGACTGAAACTAATTAGTGTGTTTTTTAGAAAACTGCATTAGAGATTTAAGTACAGGGCACTGCGGACAAAACGCTGCACACAGAAAAATGACGCCTCAAATAATGTCAGTTAAAACCACAATTAGCTTTAACAAGCATCAAACAATACATCTTTAAAGAAAGATGCAAAAAAAGATTTTTTAGCTAAATCTGGCAGGACATTTGTGTCCAAAATACAAATGAAGAAGAGAACGTGAGGGGCTAAACTGGAAGAAAATATAGCATCACCCGAGCAGGCAATGTCACTTGAGGTCTCACAAGCTTCAGTGGTTCAAGCATTGGATCTACTGAAGCTTGAGATTGACCAATAGACGCTCACGATGCCCGCAGGATTAACTAAAAGCTCAGCCACTAGGTCATTCTCTCTTCACCATAAGCCACCATTATGGACCGATAACGCCATACAGTAGTAGTTCTTAATCCTGGTCCTGGGGACCCACAGAACTGCACATTTTGTATGTCTAATGCACCTGAATCGAATCGTCAGCTCATTAGTAGAAAGCTTTATGGACCAAGCTTGGTGTGTCAGATAAGAAAGACAAAATGTACAGTACTGTGGTCCCCAGAAACAGGATTAAGAACCACTACAAAGGAATTCTTGTAATCCACCAATGCATGTCATTTCTTCTTGTATTTAAAATTTTTGCATTTGGATCATTATGGGTTTTGATAATTAACTTGTATCTGATACTTTGGAACAATCTGTGCTTTTGTTCAATCAAACAGTCTCTGTGATGCCAGTTTTATAATTTGCCAGGTGAAAATAATTTATAAAGCACATTGCTTTAGCACATTGCTTAAGTAGTACTTACTGTTTAAATACTACTTTATAAGCCACATGGTTTGAAGTATCATTTATGTCCAGGGTTCGACAACCTGATCTCACGGAAAACGTATCTTTTTTACAAAATGGCGATTTCATATGAATTTGCACAATGTGAATTTTATGAAAACTTACAATTTTTAGAAAAAAAGCATGAAGGTCCACCCGTAACCCCACCCTAAACGAAACCGCAATGAAACAAATGTACAAATGAGATCGTACAAGTCATACAAATCAGTCACCAATTTGCTAAAATTTTACAATTGTTACAAATTGTTTAAAACATTGTATTCCTAACTAAGGCAGACACTGAAACTGACATGCTGGGCTGCGCAAACAAACAGAGTAACAGTGTTTACACTTTTCAGACATTCTTAATTGCAGTTGTCTCTACACATTAAACTGGGAGAGGAGAACGTATTTAACATTTAAAAAATAAATTATTAGAACCTCATCATAGGTCGCAGTTAATTATTACATTGAGAGAACCTAACCAGATCATTGCATTGATTTCGCATTTCTTACCTTCCAATCATTGTAGAGTGCTGCTGCACAGCGGCCTCCAGGAGGCGCTCTAAAATGGTCCACTCTCCCATGGCTGGGTGCTGAAGACATCAAGGGATCACTGGACACTATAATGGACCCTCACCGATCCTTCACATAGACCTCCAAAGAAACTCTACCGTCTTCGTGGCTTTACCCTTTGAGGTAGTCAGCAGCAACAGTAGTTTCAGTCTGTCATATGAAATTATCTTAAAGACAAACACTGTCAAGCAGTGTACATTAAGGCAGTCAGCCAGGAGACATTGGGTGTGAAATGGTATTAGACATCCAAACAGCCATCTACCGATGCTTAGCATTCAGGTTTTTGGTGATTCACCTACTGACAGTGCGTCATTTATCATATGATCATCATAGGTGACCTTTGGATGGTCGTCACGACCATCCAAAGCCATTATGTAATGGTCATCTCTTCCTCATCCAGCAGGGTCTGGTTCATTGCTACACTAGACCCTAGACTACACATTGATTCCATGGCAACAGAATTTGTCTTTCTCCATTCCATTCATGAGACCAAATGATAAGAGGTTGGTATTTGCCATGCATTTCCTCCTGCCATTGACAGTTCTGGCATCAATTTGGCTGGCCAGAAATTGAGCGACACTTTCATAGATGTGCCGTTAGGCTGAATAATGATTTCCCTGATCAGATCTCATTCACCAATCACTGCCCCCACACTCACACTTCAGTGAGCGCAGGCTGCTTGGCAGCCAATGGTGAATTACACTACGCCTGACAGGGTATGCCTTAGTCTCAAGGGACTGTTTCATTCATTATGTTTGGCATTACTGAGGTGATGTGGGTAGTTTTCTGATGTGAGCTGTTACAAGGAGGTTAATGAATTTGAGTAATTATGGAGGGTGGTTGCCACAAAAAGATCCTTAGCATTTCAATGCAAGGCTCTTTTTTTGTGCTACGAACATGAATGATACCTGTACTTTTACATTTTTTAGTGTTCAAACTTCAGATGTTTAGCCATAGGTTGATAAAACAGGTGAAAAGCCATTTGGCTTCCACTGAAGGAGGAATATTTATTTAGACATATTTAGAGAACAGAATATTGTAGGAGACCTGAAGGTGTGCTTTTTTCCCCTCACAGAACAACCATATAGCAATGATGCTGCAATTATTTTCAAATCTCGCAGCATGTTAAAATTGTTTTGAAGTCATAAAATAATATTGTGCTTGGAATGGTCTGAGAATTAGGCTTCCTTAATCAAAACTCTGGCCCTGTAAATCATACTTTGTGTGAAAAGGATTGGAGCGATTTGTATATATAGGTAAGTTTTTGAATTTTGCAAAAGTGTAGGTAGAGGCACATATTTCCAACGAGCCAATGAGACATTGCATGAGATTAGATTTTAAAACTGTTTGTTAATTGGTAATTCTACAAAGTTTAAGAGTCATTTAATTTGAAACTGATTTTGTTCATCTTGTAGAAGACAAGAGAGCACAGAATGCTTCATGCAACAAAAGACAATGCATGTTTTACATACCTCAATGGGGCATGATGCGTACTAGCATTTACATTACTGAAAATATTACATCAGGCAGATACCTTGATTTGATACAAATATGCTTGCTAATTACGCTTTTAGAAAATGTACAAATCCAATTTAAGTTTATGTAATTCCAAGTGCTTCATATATATAGCCTTTGAGCTAATATTATTACCTAATAAATCCTCTCATAATTAACTGATAATTAATTTTGCAGTACTTCAAAGTTTATTGGAGGCAGTTTTCAATTCAATTCTGATTTAGGGAAGGGAGTTGGGGATGTGGGCAACTGGTTTTTGTTCTAAACAGCTGTATCATTTACAAGCTAGTGTTCAGCAAAGGGCGTCTTAAAATAGACAACGTAAGATGTGTAGCAGACAGTTGGCTGTGCTGTTACAGTTCACAGTGAATATTTATGGATACAGTGTAAGAAATGTTTTTGTCAGATTACGGAAAAAAATGCATTTTACACTGTGACATCTAATTTAACTTATTTCATTCAAGTGAAAAATATCATTCAATGGGATTGAAATATGGCCACATTATGCTACACCAATAAATGTGATTTTTAAGAGCCAACCCCAGTAGGAATAGCCCTGTATGGCAAGAACTGCAGAGTTTCCTTTTTAGAGTGTAAATCCATCATACTGTTACGGGGCAAACAAGACGTGAGACGTACGGATCCATTTGCAAGCTTTAATAAGGGCCTGGTCAAAACAGGCAAGAGTCAGGCAATGGCAAACAGGTATATAGAGGGCAAGACAAAAGATTAATCCAAACCGGGCGTGAGTCAGTAGACAGCGAATGTTATCCAGAGGGCTTGAAATCCAAAAACACAAGCAGTAGTCCAGGCGAGGTGCAAACACAGTCCGAAACAGCAGGCAAAGGGTTAATCCAAGATAATCAGACAAAAATCAGGTAACACGGGAAAGCAGACAAGGCAAAACTATGACAGGACTAGGCTAGACTATGAAACAGGAAATCAATAAACAGGCTCCGTAAAGTAGCTATCAACTAAACAGTGATAAACGCTAAACAATACCCGGCGACTTGAGCAGGAACTGAGTTGGTGTTATATAGTGAATGTGTGATTGGTTACAGCTGTGTGTGTGTAATCAGTGCAATGGATGGTGGGAACTGTAGTCCGGAGTGACATGTAACAGTCTGTGTAGTGTGAGAGTCAATGTAATGGAAGAGTGATCTCTGGTGGCGAGCGGATGGAAGTCCATGGACAGGATTCGTGACACATACGTAGATTCCGCATTAGTGTCATTCAAATTATTAGCGCACTTATGTATGAGTTGGTAAGTTTCATTATAACTGCTGTCACTACTGTTCTTTAGATTATATATTTATAAAATTGTCATTTAATTTTATCCAATGGTGAGGTGACTGAACATGCATATAGGGCAAATTCCATTGCATTTATTTATTTATTTATTTAAAGGATGCACTACTGTAGACTCATTCCCAACAAAAGCAACTGAATCCCATCATAAAGTGAAGGGATCACAAAATATGAGACAGCAATGCCCTGAAACCCTACCCGTCACATCCCCTCACTTAAATTGTTCTGCACTACAGAGTGAGTCTGGCAGAGGGATGCTCACTTTTGAATAGGGTATTTATAGCTGCACAGATTTCTGGGTATCATGTGTGCTTCCCGATGTGTATCCGTGTGTATTTTTAGAGACTGATACCTTAATCACAGTGGATTTGACTTTCCATTTCGAATATGTCCATCACACCATCCAGTCATATTTGACCGCTTAGTCATTCATTCATACCATATCATTTCTATACATATTTAAACATCCATTTACAGATTAATTACAGCTCTATTCACTTACACACACACACACACACACACACACACACACTTGTGCGTGACTTGACTCACACTGAGACTTCCTGAACCACAGGCTGTTGGCTGTTATCCATCCTGCTTTTCCAGTCTCTCTCATCTCTTTGTCGCTTTTACTGGTTTAGTGTGCACAGTGTGCTTTAGACCTGTTTGAAGAAAAAAAAATATTATTTAGATGACAATGTCAACAAATTAAACAAGTATTATTAGTTGCAGCCCTAATTTAATATATATGGAGCAAATGGTGCATATACATGGCACACTTATGTATGAGTTGGTAAGTTTCATTATAACTGCTGTCACTACTGTTCTTTAGATTATATATTTATAAAATTGTCATTTAATTTTATCCAATGGTGAGGTGACTGAACATGCATATAGGGCAAATTCCATTGCATTTATTTATTTATTTATTTAAAGGATGCACTACTGTAGAGTCATTCCCAACAAAAGCAACTGAATCCCATCATAAAGTGAAGGGATCACAAAATATGAGACAGCAATGCCCTGAAACCCTACCCGTCACATCCCCTCACTTCAATTGTTCTGCACTACAGAGTGAGTCTGGCAGAGGGATGCTCACTTTTGAATAGGGTATTTATAGCTGCACAGATTTCTGGGTATCATGTGTGCTTCCCGATGTGTATCCGTGTGTATTTTTAGAGACTGATACCTTAATCACAGTGGATTTGACTTTCCATTTCGAATATGTCCATCACACCATCCAGTCATATTTGACCGCTTAGTCATTCATTCGTACCATATCATTTCTATACATATTTAAACATCCATTTACAGATTAATTACAGCTCTATTCACTTACACACACACACACACACACACACACACACACTTGTGCGTGACTTGACTCACACTGAGACTTCCTGAACCACAGGCTGTTGGCTGTTATCCATCCTGCTTTTCCAGTCTCTCTCATCTCTTTGTCGCTTTTAGCCTTTGGATTATATTGGTTATGCATTTGATTCTGTGCAAAGAAACAACATGAAGCCTCGAAGGAGATGTGTTATGACACACATTTCCAAATCATCAATCCGTTTGCCACTCAACATCAACACAGATTTTATTCAGATTAGACACTACAAATGTATACTGTAGACACAATAATCTCTGTTACAGCAAGATTATACACAGTGAAGACAGACGTTATGCCAAAGCGTGATTAGAAAATGAGAGGCATTTACCACAAAAGAAAAAGAGAAAAATGACTGTAGCGCATATAGAAGTGTCTTCTGAATGTAACAGCTCAAGCTGTTAAAACATAGTTCACCCCCAAAATTAAAAATTCTGTCACAATATCCGTGCTTGTTCCAAATCTGTAAGACTTTCTTTCTTAAAAGGATAGTTCATCCAAAAATGAAAATTCTGTCATCATTTACTCACCCTCATGTTTCAAACCTGTATGCCTTTCTGCCGAACACAAAAGAAGATAATCTGAAGAATGTAGGTGACAGTTTTGGTGATAATTTTCCTTTCTCTATATATCTTCTTAATACATGAGGGTGAATAAATGATGATTTTTGGTTGAATTGTTACATTTCAGATCAAGCCATTTTTATGTGCATCAAAACCAAATGCTAACTTTGAATACATTTAATTAATAATAAACGTATTAATATGCCATCTTTACATTGCCGAGTTGAATAAATAAACAAAAACATACAAAAGTATGCCACCTCTGCCTCTCCTCAGTATCAAAGAAGGATTTCATGTGGCTTTGGTTCCATATAAATGAAATCCGTAAACCTGAAACGGTTGCATTTAAAGGGGATTGTTCCTCTAAAAAAAGCATACCACTTCAGAAGTGGCTACTGTGCTGCGTTCAAAGTGAAAAGCTTTATGGTGAATGGTAGCACATCAAAATGTCTTCATGGGAAATAAATCACAGGTATTCCGCCAACATAGTCATAATAAAGAAGACAATATCATTTTTTACAGTCAGATTTTGAAGTTGAGGTGTGTGGCAGTTTACTGCAAGGAATTATGGGATCTGGGATGACATCTAACTGCCTCTCCTGAACAAATAAAGCATAAATCAGTGTCTAATCGCTCTTAACTGCATCAAAACCTCAAGCTGCTCATAGAAGATGAAATAATAAGGGAAAGTAGGCCCTGTGAGGACTGGAGAAGCACATGATGTTTGTCAGAACCAATATAACACAAAGTGAGGTTTAGAGCTGATACTGTGAGTACGTCCCTCAAGAACGAGGCTAAACAACTCTGTAAAATCTGTAAAAGGAACATACTTTACAGACCACTAACCATTATACTCACGAACACACACTGACTGTCCAACACCACAAGCAAAATCTTCATGTAATTGCTTTCACACAAACTGAAAACAAATATTAGATCACACACACACACACACACACACACACACACATATTCAACATCCACCGCGCACACACATTCACCCACCAACAGAGGCGCCTGTCCCAACAGTATGTCACCATTTACTAACACATCATATTAGTGAGACAAGCGTTCTTTCAGGGGCACGTCAGCCTCCTGTTGCATTACATACGTAATTTAACAAGTATGCACACACTTACACATTCACATATGTGGCCAACCTGTAGGAGGGTTGGCATAAATATTTCTCCATAGCAACAATCCAATGCACCCAATACACTTATCACTTCATTCAGATGTTTCTAAAATAAAAATAGAAGCAGTTGAAAAAAAGTGTATCATTTAATTACACTTTATTTCAACAGTCTACTTTAAAGATTCTACTAACTATAAGTAACTTTGCAACTACATAGGGTTAGTAGAATAAGTTGAGGTACTTGCGAAGTTACTTATAGGCAGTAGAATGTTTGTTGGGCACCATCAAAATCATGAGCAGATATTAAGCAGACACTCTACACTCTTAAAAATAAAGGTGCTTCACGATGCCATAGAAGAACCTTTTCGTCTAAATGGTTCCATAAAGAACCTTTAACATCT